CAGTTAATGTAATGTGCCGCTCTACTGCCGGGAGGGGGGGGGCAGGGGAAGGTAGGGGTCAGTGGGAGACCCCTCTCCCTCTCCCTCCCCCTCTCCCACCGACCCCTACCTTCCCCTGCTCCCTCCTCCCGGCAGTAGAGAGGAAAATTACATTAACTGCGAGTCGGCTGTGGATCCAGCCGGAGTGACTGTAACTGAACAGAACGTCCTGAATGCGGCTGCTTTGGCACACCCTCGCCCCCTCCTCTTCCCCCTCCCCCTCTCCCACCGACCCCTACCTTCCCCTGCTCCCTCCTCCCGGCAGTAGAGAGGAAAATTACATTAACTGCGAGTCGGCTGTGGATCCAGCCGGAGTGACTGTAACTGAACAGAACGTCCTGAATGCGGCTGCTTTGGCACACCCTTGCCCCCTCCTCCTCTCTCTCCCCCTCTCCCACCGACCCCTACCTTTCCCTGCCCCCCCTTCCCGGCAGTAGAGAGGAAAATTACATTAACTGCGTGTCGGCTGTGGATCCAGCCGCAGTTAATCAATTGCTCTAACAACTTGAAGCAGCTGCTGGAGCACTTCCGGGTTGCAGTTGGTGCCGGACCATCAGGCGTACCGGACCACTGGATGCCGGACCACCGGAGTTTTACTGTATAAAGAAAATAGTTCGAGGAAGAAAAGTCCTGAGGAAGAAAATTCTCCTGCTCAACAATTGCCATGGGGTTTTATAGGCCTTTTTGTATTGCCTTTAGCCAACCTCTCAAAGCCAAAACAGATTTCTTCACCCTGAGATTTTTGTGGGTACACATTTGATTGGACGATTAAATTAGTGCATCCTTTTGAATGTTCATGAAAGATCACTTGATGCCCTCATGGATAAGTTCTCCCAAGGGGGGGGGGGGGGGGGGGGGGGATGGGAACTTGTGGTCCAGTACCAAGAAATACCTCAAGTTGCCTACTGCCCTTGTTTTCTTGATTAAACCAGGTTCAGTTTGGGTGGGTTATTGTATTTTGAGACCTTTTTAGATGATACCTACTTGTATCTTGTGAAATAACACCCCGGTCTGCCTGTTTTTTTTGTTTGTTTGTTTGACTTGACCGAACTGGAAACTTTCACACATTATTTAACTATAAATCCTTCCAAAACTCCTAAGATGTATATTTTAACCTTTACTTGTAACCAATCTACATTTCTACTAAAGCCAGCTTCTTACAGGATAGAATCCCTGTAGGCCCTTGTGTTACTTGCTAGAATATGATAGAATAATAAAAGGTTTAGGAAAGTGTATATAGGTTTACAGGCGACAGCGTGAAGCTGCAAACCACACATTTTAAAAGTCTTCTGGGTGTAATTCAGCTCTGATGTACACTTTATCTGCAGCGGTGGACAGAAACTTATGTACGCTGGTCCCCAAAAGGAACCTACCTGGCTACATTCCATCAGAGAGGCATTGCTCTATGGGGAGGAGAGAAGTTCAAGCAGATTCAGAGGTTCAGTCACCAGGGTGTACAGCTTATCGACTTCTCACCTTGTGAAAGGTAAGGTAAAAAAGCAGTTTGAGACCATGCCTTAGGGAATAAACACAAAGCATGTTTATTAGTTTCGGTATCATGGGTTTTCAGCCTTTATTGCTCTGCTCTTTGGAATTGCTGCCTTTAGAGTTAATTTTTTTTTAGAATTGTTTGTGTGGGTCCATGATTGTTTGACATGATTTTTTTATTTAAGTTGGAAAAAGTATTTAAAGAACACAATCCAGAATAATGATCTACAGTATCTAATAATAATAATAATAATAATCTCCTTGTTTACTTCAGTCAGTTTGTGGAGTACAAGTACCTTAATGCACACACAGATGGTGTCTTTGTACTCGGCCATTGATGCCTATGCATTGAGTTGTGGTCTTTCAGCAGAATGGTCAGTTTATCAGCATCTTCAAGTGTTTTGTTTTATGATGGCTCCATGGAGGTTATTAACCAAATGGTTTTGTGAAAGCTTCACCTCTTAAGTGTAAGCTTCTGTCTTGTGTTTATGAATGGAAAGACTGGCTTGTTGGGAGTAATTAGATTTTAGATTTTTTTTTAATATAGTTGAGAGATGTGTTTGGACTCTCTCTAGGAAAATATGGCAATAAATTCTTCTAATGTTCCTGTCCTGAAAGCTCCTGTCTGGTAAATTCTTGGTTTTTTAGGCCATTGTAGGTTATACTGTGTTGCTCATCCATCATCAGACCTTAATGGTGGTGATTCCCCTTTACAACACCCAGGGTGGAGGGTTTTGTAAGACGGTTGGGCAGCTTTTTAGCCAGAAGAATCTAGAGGCAATTCCATAATTTGGATGCCCAACAACCACCCCTGATACGTCTACAGTTCACTGACGTAATCAGTCTATCCAAATGCTTACACAGCTTCATCCCCTGTAGCTGTTGAAAGAGAAGGGACTCTGTTGTCCTAGCACATCTAGGCGCTCCGTTGCTATGGGGATGTGGAGCCATTTCAGTACCACAATAGAACTGCTGGTTCATGAGGTAGGTGAATAAAGCTCTCTGCTATTCTACTCCTAGAGAGGCTCCTGTGTATTACAAAGGACTGTATAGGTGGATATCTAATACTCAAGCCCTTCCTGAACTTCCTCATTATTTTGTGTAGGAATGGATTGGAGAAAAAAGTTTATATTCTACCTATTCTCCAGTTTTGACTGTGTTCTCTTTGTGCATGCCTCTTAAACTCTGCTTAACTGATTCTTCTCAAAATTAGATAAAACCGCATTTGTGCTGAAATGGTAATTACACCTTATGAAAAATGCAGTTAATCATTTTCTCCCTGTCCTTTTTATAGGTACTTAGTGACCTTCAGCCCTTTAATGGACACACAAGATGACCCTCAGGCTATAATCATATGGGATATCCTAACTGGACAGAAGAAACGAGGGTTCCATTGTGAAAGCTCAGCCCATTGGCCCATTTTTAAGTAGGTTGGGTAACAATAGTAGATGACAAATTACATAACTAGCTGCTTGTTACTAGATAAGTAATGTGATAGATCTGATTTTTGGCCTTACTCTTATTTATTTAGGTGGAGTCACGATGGCAAATTTTTTGCCCGAATGACATCAGATACCCTCAGTATCTATGAAACGCCTGTAAGTGCTCTTTTTATCTTAAAAACAAACAAACAAAAACCCTGCTTTATAATGTCAGGTGTACCTGAAGTGCTTTTGTTTTAAGTGAGTTACTGTTAAAAAAGGATACCTTACACTCCAGTAAATATTTATTAAAGGATGAGAGATCCATCTTGTCTTGTTCTTCCCTTGGGCTTTCAACATCCCCAGTTTTGGGGGTTGGGACAAGGTTCCTTCCCCAGTGGGAAAATTTAACTGAAATGTTGGAAGGAAACCGATAAAGAATTAAGGTGTTCTTAAAGAGCGTAGAAAATATTGCTTTACAATATTGCACTTGTTTAATACTTCCCAACTCTTGTTAACAGATTGCTGCCAAAAAAAACCCCCTAAATCCATTTATTTTAACACTATTGCTTACTGCCCGATTTTTCCAGTATATCCCCTTATGCGTTAGATTATCTTTTATTTGTAAGGTTATGGTGACTGGGTGGATAATGCAAGAATTAGTATTATGGGGATAAGTGAATTGTTTTGTACTTTATATCCAGATAGTGATAAAATGGGGACAATTATTTACCTCCTTAAGAGTGTTAATTTAAAGGGTGTTTTGAGGTGCTTTAATATGATGGAGGCAGGAGGGTATAGCAGTACCTACCTGTAAGTATTTCTAACTTACAAATTCATGATTTTTTTTTTTTTTTCTTTTTCTAGTCTATGGGTTTGCTGGACAAGAAAAGTTTGAAAATCAATGGGATAAAGTGAGCTTATTCATTTGTAAAGAATTCTGCTTTTTTGTTATATTCTTGAGAGATTGTGTGTTAGGATTCTAGTATTGTGGAGTTCAATGCCAAAAGAGATTATTAAATGAACTAGCCTGACTTCCTATATATTAGAAATCATAGCATTTCACCTAATTACCCATATATTGAGGCCAACAGTTTGGTTCTAACTAAAGCATCTCTCTCAGAAATGCATGTAGTCTTGACATGAAGACATCAAAAAGAAAATCCACTTGCCTAGGTGATTAGTTCCAGTAGTAATTGCCCTCACTGTTTTTAAAATAGACCATATATGTGTGTCTTTTTCTAATTTAAACTTTTGGACTGACTGCTGGACATTTGATTCTTAGTTCTTTTTTCACTACATTAAATATTAAGTATTTTCTTACCATTAAAATAATTACACAGTGTTATCAACTTGCCTCTAAAAGATAAGCAGACTGAGCTCTTCCAGTCTTCCTCTGTTCTGGGCAGACAGTACTAAATCTTGTTTCCCAGAACATCATTCTTTCAGATGAGCAATAACTATTTGCACTGAAATATTTTGCATTTGTTTAGTGATTACACAATGAAGAATCAGTATCTAGTCTAGAACCATTTGCTTCCTATATGGTGGTCAGCAGTGAGAATTGTTAACCTGTCTTTTTCCTGGGGAAGACACCTATGTCACTATTAGTTGGTTGTCAGTTAACTTGATGGTTACTGTTCTGCTTTTTGGTGTGGCAATACACAAACTTAGAATTTCAATATGCTAGCATGTTTCTTCTCAGTGTTTACTTTCCTTGATGATGACCTGCAGCTGTGGAGAGAAGTAGAGCTATCTTTGTCATTACTTCTCTTTCCATGCATTGATCTATGGGCAGGGCTCGATAAATAATACAATCTACTCACCCGTGGTGAGTAGATTGTAACCCAGAAGAGCCGGGTTCGAGAGATCTGCACATGCGCAGATCGCTGGACAGCGTGGCTGGCGAGCGGGGCTCGCCGCGGTTCGGTGAGCCCTGTCTGTGAGTGACAATTTGTGAACTTTACAGCAAGGCCTGAAATCTCTAATTGCTTGATGATCTAAGAACCTTACTTGGTGTTCCTGCTGCATGTGGGCAACTCTGATAAACCAAAATGCAGTTAACTTAATTTAAGCATATTTCATCAACAAAGGGATATCTTGCCTGATAATGTGGCTTTCTGTAGTCTTAAATGAGAGCACACTATAAGTTACCCACTGGCAGTGAGCTTATTGTTTAATTTCTTTATAACACAACCTATAATCTAATTACTCCAAACAGCAACAGCAGGATCATGCTGAATCACAAGGATCCTTCTGATCTCTGTCTTGACATCAGATCAAGACACAAGCAGTCTTTCTGATGCTAACCAGATAAGAGTGACGGACAGAGTTAAACAATTAAAACATTCATTCTTACACTACAATTAAGCTATATTTCATGAAACATAAAACTCTGTGGTCTATATCTAATAGTGACAGATTGTAGGAGAGAAGTGTGCTTATAACATACTTTTAAAGGTTGTCTTTTTGTAACTCATTTTTATCAACCCATATCCCAAATCATGTTGGATTCTGCAGTATGAGATGAGGTAATTTTTCTACCTTTCCTAGATAAGTGTGTTGCTTCAGCATCACTCCCTGCCACCTTGGAATGGCAAACCAAACCTGGGTTTTCTGCATGGTATAGAATATTGACTGCAGGGCCAAACTGGTCTTGGTAAATTTCTTTAATCGTTCTTGTGGCTCTTGAATTTAGGGATGGAATTTTTGGCTGTAGCCTAGCTTCAGTGTCAAGCTCCCTTGTAACTGATTATCATAACCTGTCAAATGCAATGCAGAACACTGTTCCTTATGTTGCTTGCAACATACCTTTTAACTTACTTGGTTTATTCCATCTTGTCTCTTTTTTCTCTTCACTCCTGTAGGGATTTCTCATGGTCTCCAGGTGGAAACATAATTGCATTTTGGGTCCCTGAAGACAAAGACATCCCAGCAAGGGTGACATTGATGCAGCTCCCTTCCAGACAGGAAATCCGTGTGCGGAACTTGTTCAATGTGGTGGATTGCAAACTACACTGGCAAAAGAACGGAGATTACTTGTGTGTGAAGGTAGACCGGACTCCTAAAGGCACACAGGTATGCTTCTCCTTGGTGCATTCATAAAACTGATTCTGTGCCTCCTTTGGTTTTAACATTTCAAAATGGATTGATAGAAGTGAGTACATTAATTACTTGGCATCAAAACCCGGGACTCTTTCATTTTTCCAGTTAGCACCTCACACGCAGCTCTTTTAAAAACAAAAAACCTTGTGGGCACTTAATGAGCATTGGACTTGACATCAGTATGTGTTTTGAAAGATTAATGAAAGTATGTGTTTTATTTCTGAAACATCTGGGAATAGATTCTTTACTCTCTGCATTTGTTATTTGTTACGTCAAGTTTGGGTCCCACAGATCATGCTGTATGAGCTAATTTAGATTTTGGTCCTCTTGAAATGGTCTCAACTTCTGCACTGCAGAAAGCCTTTTCTGTTAATGCACAACTTGCTGAAGAAAATACTGTTTTATTAAAAGTGCTGCTTAGAAATGAGAAAACAGTAGTAATCTTTGCATGTTACCTTCCACCCCTTGGGGAAATGATGATTTAGACTCTTTAGTGATCATCTTAAAATACTAAACCAGGCCAGTTGCATAGTCATCCCCATATTTCTGCATTAAATTAATTGCCTTACTATTATGGCACTAGATATTTGACTGTTAACTTTCACAGGGTGTGGTGACCAACTTTGAGATCTTCCGAATGAGAGAGAAGCAGGTCCCTGTGGATGTGGTAGAAATGAAAGGTAAATTCAACTTTTCACATGTCTCGGTGCAGGAGATTCTCAGTGTTTTTTCTTAAATTGTGCTATATGCACAACGCTTACTAGGCTGCAAATATGCTAATCTAGTGGTTTGTGATTGAGGGGTTTTTTGGATGGGGACTGGGATGTTCATGTGGAGTGGGAATTTTTTTACATGGAAAACTACATGTGGACTTTTCATGTACTCTTTGCTAGTAGCTAAGTTTAGGATGTCTTCAGTCAGTATGGAAAAATCTTGGTGTGTCGTACATTCTTCTTTAGAGATAAATGTGCTAGCTGTTTTGCTGATGTGCATTTATACATACAGTATTGATCAGTGAATAAACTGACAAAATATTGTAATGTAAAATGCTGCTAGTGGCTCTTAACAGATAAAAGAGCTGGGTGGCATATTGGTCTACTTTTTTTGTTCTTGGACCAGCTATTTTTTATTTAAAAAAATTGCCTGGTAGATAGATATATATTTTTTTCTGCTTCAGTTGCTGTATTTTAACAACAAAGAACAAACTTCCTTAGTGGGAGACTGGCTAAATTTGATCCTTACCTTTCAGTCTGAAGATATTCTGTACCAGGCTAGAGAAAAACTGGGGTAGGTGATTGTGAACACCCCATAAGTAGCATCCTCTACATTTGTCTAGCTGGCTCATTAGAAGCAAAGCAGGAGTAAAAATCTTAATACCAAATTACTCAAACTGGATGTTTTTTTAGCATCCAGGATTTCTTCAGTCCTGACAGTAACTGCTTGGGATTGTTGGGTTTTGACACTTCTTTACATCTGTTGCAGAAGGTATCATAGCCTTTGCCTGGGAACCAAATGGAAGCAAGTTTGCTGTGTTGCACGGAGAGCCTCCCCGAATTTCTATTTCCTTTTACCATGTCAAAAATAATGGGAAAATAGAGCTCATCAGTAAGTGGAGTTGACCGCAGGAGTACGGGTGGAGGAATCTAGGCATTAAGCACTTTCACGTGGTGGTAGCAACCTGTTTACCCTGTAGGCTTCTTAATATCTTTTTCATAGACCATGTGTCATACTTTTGGGTCTTGGCAGAGGGCACGAGGGGGAACATGTCTGGAGCATGTTGACTTCTGGCTGTCTTGGGCTGGAAAACAGCCACTATAGCGCACATATCTGCTTGTTCTGCGGTGAGGGCCAAATTACCATTTTACTTCATTTTGGGGGCGGGGAGTGGAACTATTAATCTTTAAAGCATTTTTTGCCCTAACTTCCTTTCCTTTCTCCATTAATTTACTTTATCTACACTTTGTTCTCAATACTTCAGGGATTTCCTCCTGTTCCCAACTTGGGCAGTCTCCCACATCTCTGCCCCCCAATTTGTTTTAAGTCCACAAGGAATCAGCTTAAACTAAATTCTGAAAAGGAATTTATAAGCCAAAACAGATGTCTGCTCAAGAGGTTGTATCAATTACATCAGTTTCTAAACAATTTTAGTTAAATTGGTACAATTTGCGTGTTAAGGCTTTAAGGATTTCTGATTTCCCCACACATGCACCTTTTTGAAATTTCTAATCATCCCAGTGTTTTCAGATAATCAGTGAGAGGAAATCCATTTTGGGTTTCATTCTTCCAGTTAAAATATGCTTTAGTAGACATTATCGGTTACAGAGCTCAGAGATGCCTTTTTGAGGATTCTGTAGAATGCCCGTGAGTATAGTTGCTACGTAGTTGTTTGTTTGGTGCCATTGAGTGAAGACTTCCCTCACTTTTATGTTGGCATAAATACAAGTTCTGTTTCCTTTCAGAAACGTTTGACAAGCAGCAGGCAAACACGATATTCTGGAGTCCCCAAGGGCAGTTTCTAGTGCTGGCTGGCCTGAGAAGGTGGGTATTGCTACTTGACAATTTGAGCTAGTTTTTTTAATCAGTGTAATGTTCTCAAAGAGCTAAGAAAAGGTCTCCCTCACACCATTATATGCATACATCTGTAAGACACGTACCCAAAATCTTAGCCATCTCTCAGTTCTCTGCTAGAAAACTTGTATGCATTAAGAGGGTTATCTTTTTGTTTGGAAGAATATAATTTTGACATGTAGTAATCTGCCAGTTGGCCTTTCCAAGGTCTACATGGATTTCAGTTTGCAATAATAGGTTTTCTTGAAGATAAATTTATCTGTTGGTAACTTCTACATATTTCCATAAGATTCTTTCTCTCCTTCCTAAAATTTAATTTGCTGTAGTAGCTGTGACCTCCTTATGGCAAATGAAGATAGTCTAATCTTGCACATCTAAAATGCACTTCAGCTGTTAATTCCTTTAGTCTGTCTAATAAAGATATATTTAGTCTAACTATGAAGACATATTTATCCAGAGAGCTCCAAAGGTTTCTCTCACATGAAGCAATACAAATGACTTGTATAAGAATTTTCACAATTTCAGTTAAATCATGACAATTGGGGACTTTTTCTGAAATAAGTATAAGCTTAAATGAGTATAAGTATAAATAGGGTTCTACCAAATTCATTATCCATTTTGGTAAATCTCATCACAGCATTTTAAAAATCCTGAATTTCACAGTTAAATATTTAAATTTTAGATTTGTGTTGTTACATCATGAATATGTATCTTAAAATTTAAATGTGCAAAGTCAGCATTTCTCAAATTGGCAATCAGACCCAAAGTGGGATGGCAAAGCTTATGGAGGGGCAGTCGTGGTATTGCCACCTATGCTTCTGTTTGGTGTGCATCCAGCTCTGCAGGTAGCACTGCTGCTGATGGTTGTGGTGCCTTCAATGCTGGGTTCCTGGCCAGCAGCTGCCACTCTCCAGCCACCCAGCCCTGAAGGCAGCACAGGAGTAAGAGCGGCAATACAGTGACTCCCCTCTCCTCCGCCCCTCCACACACACTAGTCAGATTTCATGATCCATGATGTTGTCCATTTCCACACACAGACCCCCCCACTCTAAATTTTGGTAGGGCCCTAAGTATAACTGATATTGAAAGGAACATGACCCGTAGATACCATTTTTTCTTTTTGCTAACCATACTAATGTTAGTTGTAACTTTCTTAGACCATTCTCCTATCCAGTTAATTAAAATCTTTGTGAAAGTGGGAATCTCCAGTAGGAGTAAAGAAACCTTTATCAACTCTGAATTTGGCACTGGTGTGACTGATACAATATTCCAGTATCCATTACTGGTGTCGTCAGTTGAAGAACGATGTTGAAGAACAGAAGAGTGTTCAGAGAAGAGCCATGAGAAGGATTAAAAGATTATAAAATCTGCCTTCTAGGCATGCAGCAATTCTCCAAAAAGCTACATTTTTAGAGTTTAATGTATGCTGCTTATATATACACTCACATCATATTTCATTTCAAAGTTTATGCTATGTATGTTTAAATGAGGCATGATACAGAGTTGTATGGTGGTGCCTATCTCCCACTTCCATACTACTGAAGCAATTAGAATGACAGAACTGAAATAGGACATCAGCTGGAAGCTCAAATGGAAGGAATTCACTAGTTTAAGAGCACGTAACAAATAAACCACAGTGTACATCAGAGTTGCAGTGGCAGTCATACAAATGATGGCTGGAGACAAATTCTACACATTCAGTGAATTGGCTGCTGAGTACTTGAAGCAAATCCTGCAAGCATTTGACAAAGTTAATTCTGTAGTTGAAGTCTTTAAATATAACTAACTGAAAAATGCAGTGCTGGGCAGGTTGCACAGTGGGATGCAATAAATAGCAGGTAACTGATTGCCCTGTGCCTCCATGAAGAGAGATTCTAAAGTTGGAGTCCAAAAGCAATCACTTGTGAAATTTCTCTGACTATATGGTTCAAAATGCACCCGGAGCGCACACACTACCAATATGCCACCTTACTGGAGGCTTTTTCAATGGTAAAGTAGCAAAACACATCACCAGTAGAGCTGTTAAACACAAACTACGCACACTACCAATATGCCGCCTTACTGAAGGCTTTTTCAATGGTGAAGTAGCAAAACACATCACCAGTAGAGCTGTTAAACACAAACTAGCACAGTACTCAAGAGGAAGAAGACACAAAGATTCTTCTGCATGCGATATGTGCCAATATGACTTTTGGATCTCTGAATGTCAAAGGAATCATAGTAATTAGGTCACCTGAGCAGCAGGGAATATAAAAATCTAAAATGTGGATTGAAGCAGGCACCATTGACAAGAGTCACTTCATACCTATTCACACAACTTGAAGTATTCACTCTTGACTTCAGCAACATAGTTCCTGCTGTCCATGCATTAAGAGGATGTAACTGTCATCCTTGGTTGATATTGCAGAAATAATGTGGGGTTTTTTGTTAAATGTTGTAGAAGCACAGGGAACTAACTTACCGTGTGAGAGATCTTGCCAAATTCAGAGTAACAGTTGGAGTTCAACCAATGATGTGAAGCTGGTAGTGCTGCATTACAAGACAAAGAGAGACGGAGACCCACAGAGACCTAAATTGCTTGTATCTCAATCTAGCCCCCAAAAGGGCATGTCAGTGGTTGAACTCCCTCTGTGTGAGGACAGTTTTGAAAAGTATGTCAGCAGAGCATCTTGGCAAAAAAAGATTTGGATGTCTTTTGTGCATAAGTAAACCAGATATTGGCTCACCATTGCAATAGGGATAGACAAATGTGAACTACTTTCATATTCTTCAAAATCCCAAAGGCAGCCAAGCCTTCCATTACCTTATTTATGTGCAGTGATCCTTACTGATGCAGGCGATCATCTGTCTCTGTAGTTGGAACAGTCCTCCCTGCACAGAACTGTGCAAGCAGTGAAGACTCTGGTAACCCATGTGATCTTAGCGCTTCATGCTAGACTAGATGACTGGAAATGTCACCAACACACTCTCATTCCAATGTCCCCTGTACAAACTGATTACTTTAGATTGTTGCTGTGATGTTGTGAGCTCTTAGAGAAATCCAATTTTATGTCTTAAATAATACATAGGATCATTAAACTAATACAAATGTTCTTCACAATGGTCATTTCCAGGGCTTGACAAATCCCGGCGAGAGCTACTTGCCAGCCCCACGTGCGCAAAGTGCCAGTGAATGGGGCGCATGGAGCGACCGGCTGAAATCTACTCACCACGGGCGAGTAGATTCAGCGGTTTGTCGAGCCCTGGTCATTTCAACATGTTAATAGTGTCCTAGTTTATCCCTGTTTCTGTAGTAATGGCAACACTTGAGATCTTCATCATATTTCATATTACAGTAGACATAATAAGCATGAACGTAGAGAGGGTATGCCAGGGGGGCAAGATACCTCTTGCAGTCCAATCTGGCCCACCAAGCCACCGGATGTGGCTCATAGCTGCCCTTCTGGGACCCTCAAGCACGCAGCAGCTGCTCATTTAAGCACAGGGCTGCTCCATGTGCCTCTCTGCTCTGGAGCTGAACCAAGCTGAGAGATTGGCCTGGGGGGACAGGAGTGGAGGGCAGCGCAAGCCTCTCCCCGTCCTGGAGCTGAGAGCCTCATGGAGGGCACATCTTGTAGCTTTAAGCGATCTGTGGCTGCAGCAGGCAGGGAGCCCAGCCTGTCGTGGGGGTGCTGCATGGCTGCTGGCTGGGAGATGCTTAGGGAGTGCAGTCTGTTTATCTTAGAAGGAAAAGGTCAGTGGTGCATGGCTGCTGGCTGGGAGATACTTAGGGAGTGCAGTCTGTTTATCTTAGAAGGAAAAGGTCAGTGGATGACTTGATTATGGTCTAAAATACGGAGTCCTGTGGCACCTTTAGAGACTAACAAATTTATTAGATCGTGAGCTTTTTTGTGGGTAAAACCCACTTCATTGGATGAGTTGGAGTAGAAATTACAGAATCCAGGGTACATAGAACAGCAAAAGAAGTTTGCTGACAACTGTAGGGTGAGTTCATAAAGAATGTCACCTCCTTAAAACAGGGATGGGGAACCTTTCTTGGGTCCGGGCTGCACACAAGCGAGACGTGTGCAAAAAAAACCAAAACCCTCACTGACATGGCCCCTGATAGAGAAGACAGACACTCCTCACATTCCCCATACACCCATGAGCCTAGGGAAGCCCAGCCTAGTAGATTTTGTATGCTTCAGCCCTGCAAGGGAGTGTCAAGGGGGCTGGAGCGCCAGTGCAAGCTCCCCAATGCTGGGGGTGGGGGCGGCCTTGAGGGCTGAATCCGGGCAAGCCCAAGGACTGCAACCAGCCTCTGGGCTTTTAGGTTCCCCACCCCTGCCTTAAGATCAAAGAAGGAAGCGTCAGCAGACGTCCTTGTTTTCTCATTGATTTTTTTTTTGCCTTTGCAGCATGAATGGTGCCTTAACATTTGTCGTGTCAGCAGATGTCCTTCTTGCTTTCTCATTGATTTTTTTTGCCTTTGCAGCATGAATGGTGCCTTAACATTTGTCGATACATCAGATTGCACCGTGATGAATATTGCTGAACACTATACAGCCTCGGATGTAGAGTGGGATCCTACAGGTCGATATGTTGTGACATCAGTATCCTGGTGGAGCCACAAGGTATTAACGTTTCTGTTGTGATGTCTGCTCTGGGTATTTTAGAGCAGTGTTTCTCAACCAGTGGTACGAGTACCCTTAGAGGTACTCGAGAGAAGTCTGGGGGTACGTCCACACAACTGAGATTTGCAGAACTGAATTTTTGTGTTAAGTTTTACTGCACTTCATTATTTTTGTACTTTATACCCAAAAATTTAATTGCCTGCCTGGCTACGATTAAATTGTTTAAACAAATGTGTTACAATGGTAGAAAAAAAATTGTGTCTGAAAATTAAGGGTACTTAGGGGGGATACTTTATTAAAAAAAAAAAAAAGGCTGATAAACACTGTTTTAGAGGGTCAGTCTGACTTTTCCTGTGTTAACTACAAAATAAAGATACATAGTGTGGCTTACATCTGTAAGTGGGTCATAACTCTTGGTGTAATTTTTTGCTATATGAGATAGGCATGCCACTCATTGCTTTCCTCTGTCAGTGAACTACTTCCTTGTAGTTCCAGTGAGTGCACTGTATCTTTTCTGAAAGCAGGTATAAGTGTTTTTAGTCTTTGAGATTATTTCAGGGTCTTTGTTACTGCAGTAGACATATCTTGGAAAGATAGGGGGATATCTTGGCTTTATGTTAATGGGGCTCTAGGATACCTCTGCTCTACTTCATTTTTGAAATAGTATGGCTTATTCTTAGTTGAGGAATGTAACTTCAACTTATAGTTAAAATAAAAGTTCACATCTACCTCAAGCAGCATGTTCAGTCTGAAAAGGTGAGCGACTGAGTCCCACAAGGGCAGGCCTGGGCAAAATACTGCCCACCAAGCCACTGGATTTGGCCCCCAGAGGCAGTGAGGAGCTCCCTTGCTTGCCCCGCACGCCGCACAGAAACATGGCTGCAGGGCGCTTTCTCTTTGAGTCCAGAGGGGAGGGAGGAAGATTCACACGCTGCTCCCACCCCCAGCACAAACAAAAACTGGCCAGTGGGAGCTGCCTGTTTGAATAACAGGCAGCCATGAAGCACAACCCTCTTCAGTTACTCACTCAAGCAAATGGTTGAGCAGGCAGAAATATTTTAAGCTCTGCAAGCCTTTATGTCTGTAGTCAAGCAGGTTTGGCTGGTAGCTGGTAAGTCTCCTGGCTAGAACCTGCCTCTGGCACCTTAGCCCCTCACTTTCCCAACCCTCTGCCCCCCACTCCTGCCCTGCTACTCGAACTGCACCCATACCCCCTTCCAGATCAGGCATCCCAACTCCTGCTTGACATCACAATTCCATCCTATCCTAGGTCACATCCGAAAACCCTGTGCCCTAGTTCCCTGCCCTAGATCACAATTGCCTCCTTCACTTAAACTCCCTCCCAGACTCCATTCTCCCTGCTGCACCCCAGTCCCTTACCCCAAGCTTCCTTCTGTACCCAAGCTTCATCCCCGATCCCGCACATCCTCCATTAATACCATGGAAGAGCGCAGCCCTCGATCACTTTCTGAAAGCTTGTAGTGGGCCTCTCCTCCCCCCCTCCCCACATGAAAAAATTATTGCCCACCCCTGCACTAGGGACTTTCCTGTTGCCATTGATTCTCTCTCCCTCCCCTGCCCTCCTCCCATGGAGTGCATTCAGTTATATGGCAATGGGATAGCAGTGTAAAACCCTTTGACACGAGTGAGATTTCTCATTTTGCTATTTTCCAGGTGGACAATGCTTACTGGCTGTGGACCTTCCAAGGTCGTCTCCTTCAGAAAAACAATAAAGATCGGTTCTGCCAGCTGCTATGGAGACCTCGACCTCCAACTCTTCTCAGCCAGGATCAGATAAAGGTGTTATATCTCAGTTTAATTATTCTGGCTTGAACATCATTGCAGAGAATTCTCAAGTATTCTAGTCACAAGAATGTGACTTAACTCTACAACAGTTTTCAATTCCATTCCCCAGTGTGTCTGTGTCTCTTACAGTAAAGCAATGTAAGAGCTGGTTGCATGTTGAAATGGTTCTATGTATGTTAACAGTGCTCTAAGTTGTCACTATTCCTCTCTCAAACTGTTTTGGTTCAGGTGTAGAGAGGAGTGTGTGTTTTGAGTAAACTAGAAAGAATGGTAGTAGGAACAATAAAGATTGTAAATTTCAATAAGGAGCAAAGTTTGGATAGCCAAACTCAATTAATTATATTGAGGTTGTTTTTTTTTGTGCCAGGGCATCTATAAACCTAAGCAATAAAGAGAAATTGTATAAAAGAGGAATTTTTTTTTTATAGACCCAAGCAAGCTTGCAAAAATGCTGGGTATGTCTAGACATGCTTGAAGTGGCATTCTTTTATATAATATTGTTGTATGTAGTTCTGGTTGACATGAATTCTCTTTTACAGCAAATTAAGAAGGACCTGAAGAGGTACTCCAAGATTTTTGAACAGAAGGATCGCCTAAGCCAATCAAAAGCCTCAAAGGTAAGAAGCCTCTGGGACATAATGAATCAATGAAAGACAGTTAGTGCATTTGTTACCCATACTAGTATGTCTTTCTTTCATTCTACTGACTGGCAATATAGTTTTGCTGCTGCTGCCTCCAAGTTGATAGACCTTGTCCCTTATCTCAAGTAGGAGAGACCATTGTGTTTTAAGTCCCAAGTTTCCCAGATTTAGTCCTCAGATGACCTAAGAACATTATGAACTCATAGGGAATCCAGTTCGACGACAATTTGCTGATTCTCCACATGGAGAAACCGAGGCATGGTTTACTAGTATATGTTGGAGGAGGAATCAGGAAGAATTTCTGTTGAATTAAGTGGAATATACTTGACCTCTTCTTCTTTTGCTTCTGTAGGAGCTCGTAGAAAAAAGACGTACAATGATGGAAGACTTCAAGAAATACCGCAAGATGGCACAAGAATTCTATATGGAACAGAAGAATGTGCGTCTGGAGCTGCGAGGAGGTAAACCAGGAACTGGCAGTATTGTAAATATGTGGTTTTAATTAGTAACTTTTAAAGCACCAAATAAACATTAAAACTAAGGCTATAGAAGCAGTCTTTGGTAATGATCAGTGTTTAGGAGTTGAAGACCTTTTATTTGTGATGGGTTGGGGTCTCTCCTTCAGTATACATTTCCCTCTCTTGCCCAAATAATCACCAAACCCCTGGCAGGTTTGCTCACTCCTCTGCTATTCTTTCCCATCTTCCTCCCCGCCCCCCATCCCCTTTTTAAAAAAAATCTGCTATCTTGAGGTAGTGAATAGAGGGAAGGCTACTGTTGCTGCTCAGGGTGGTCATTACTGATTGCTTTGCATGTAATATTCTGGAGACAAGTGTAGGGGTGTTAAATTGCATTTAAGCAACTGATTGACTAGTCAATAAAATTTCCATCGATTAGTCAATAAGTGGGGGAAACTGCAGAGCCACAGCAGGATTAGTGCCCCTTTTAAATGTATCAAGAGCTAGTAGGCTTTTGATACATTTAAAAAACAGAAGCGCAGTGGGAGGGGATCAGGTGCAAGCTGCGAATCTGCTAATTCCCGGCTTGCATCCGGTCCCCACTACGCCTCTGCCTCCCCTGCCTCCTGTGGAGATGGTGTGGGGGGAGCCGAGGAGGAGAGACCAGCTTTTAAGCCAGCTACCCCCAGGAGCAGCTCCTGCTTCCCCCTCCCCCTTTCTGCCTCTCCCTCTGATAGTCAGAGGGGTTGGGGAAGGCGAGAAGTGACTAGTCAATTCACTAGTTGACTATCCAATAAGCATATGCTAGCCACTTACTTCCCTAGGCCAGAGATGAAGTTAAAATGCCCTTTATTTTAAAGGTGATTTGGTGCTGTGTATTTTTATATTTTAGCAAGTACCTTAGGCATTCTTGCCTGCTTGGTGGTGGTATTCAGAACTAATGCTTCCTTTCTTCCTCCAGGGGTGGACACAGATGAGCTGGACAGCAATGTAGATGACTGGGAAGAGGAGACTGTTGAATTTTTTATCAATGAAGAAATTATTACCATTGCAGAACCAGAGTAATCCAATAAAACCCTGGTAAGACAGATTACCTTTCCGTTGAGAAATATCTTATTAGGTGTTGCAGTTAATCTCCAACTGGCTTAAGAGTACTTTCTAAAGCCTGGTCTACACTATGAGATATGGTCGAATTTATTAAGGTTAGGTTTTTTTTAGCACCCAATTTTATAAAGTCGAAGGTGTTTGTCCCCACTGTGCTTGAAGAGTTTGACAAAGTATGTCCCCAATAGAATGGCCACCATCGACTTTGACAGGAATGCACTATGGGTAGCTATCACACAAATCTGATGTCCCTTTGCATACTGGGACCAAAACAGTGCAGTGCATGGTTCTGGATACATGCTGTCAGTGTCCCATAATACACTCCTCATGCTGAAATGCAACAGCAAACAAGCTTTTCACACCCTTTTTTCCCCTGGTGGTTATCTGTACAGATGCCATAGCAGGGTAAGCATGGAACCCAGTCAGCAACAAAGTACTATGGCAATCATTAAACATCTTGCGCCTGATGTTGCAGTATGTCCAGAGCCTAGCTAGGGCCTGCTGGAACAAGAGAAACTCGGAGGAGGCCATGAACACACTCTTCTGTGAAGGCACTTGAGTTGAGTGATTGGCAAGTGCTAGTGGCATTTGATCCTCTGACACAGTGGAACACCAGTTCTGGTGCTGTGAGAAAAGCACAGACTGGTGAGACCACATATTTATGCAGCTATGAGATGATCAACAGTGGCTGCAAAATTTTCACGTGTAAAGCCACTTTCATGGATGTTCACAAATTGCTTTTTCCCTCCCCGGAGCACAGGAATACCAGGAGACCCCCTTGTGTAGGAATAGTGACTGCCACAGATTGTTAATCCCATTTATAGCATAATTAAAAATGTGAACTCACCAGGAGTGCCTTTCCCCATCAGGGCCCGGCAGTGAGATGTCTTGGGAGGAAGGGATTGTTTCCAAAAATATAAAAAGGTTGTGGCTGTCAGTGAGATCAAATGCTCCGCTCACCTGCTGACCATTTTCCTCTTCCTCATCTACACTGTCCTTCAAACTGCTCCTCAAGGCTGCTAGAGGAAACTCTTGGGAGGAATACTGGTCAGGTCCCCCTTAGAATCCTATGCAGCCGCTCACAGAAGTGGCATGTTTGCAGCGCTGACCCAGACCATCCGTTTGTCTCCTTTGTCTTCTGGTACGCCTGCCTGGGCTTTTATTTTCATGCAGCACTGCTGGATGTTCCTTGGCATGTCCTTTCTTGGCAAAGAATCAATGCACATAAAACAGACATCAGGCTCTTTCACTTAGGGTTGCTTGCCATTTTAACCAGACCATTCTCTCAAAGACCTTAAAACATGCATATTGCTTCAAAGAGATTTTAACTCCAGACTTCAAAGAGAAGCCTCAGAACTGTCATTCATGCTTAAATTTGACACTTTATGTATGCACCCATTATAAAGATAGATCACCCCTAACATCATTACCTCACAGACACTAACCTTCCCCCCTGACCCTCCCCTCTGTTCTAAAATCTGATTTGTCAATTTTATGTGTTCACTTTTTTTTATTGTATCACTTTGGTATATATCGTCGTGCCAATTTTCTTCCACAAATTGATCTGAAGAAGTGGGTCTGGCCCACGAAAGCTCATTACCTAATAAACTATCTTGTTAGTCTTCTCCCCACATAGCAATGAATTCCAGGGTCTCCTTCACCCTGGGCATTCATGGTGAAGTGTACTGCCTGCTCTAGAGTCTGCTCATCACTCTGGCCACACGGAAAACAAAATTCAGATTTTTTTTTTTCCTTGGGCTTTTGTTGTTGTTGTTAACTCTGTTGCTCTCCATGTGGAGCATCTGCACTACCATAAAGTCCACCCCCTGTTGTTGTTCACATGGAGAGCAACAGAGTTGAGCATCTGCACTACCATAAAGTCCACCATGCAAGGTCAAATTTAGCATTACTCCTTGTGAAAATCAGGAATACCAAAATCTATTTTAGCAGCCCCTAAAGTTGATAGAATAGGTTGGATGGTGTGGACTCATTGTTTAGAAAATCATGGAATAGGTTGGATGGTGTGGACTTCTTGTTTAGAAAATAGACCTAGTGCAGCTAAGTTTGACCTAAATTCCTAATGTAGAAGTTCAGCTAAGTTTGACCTAAATTCCTAACGTAGACCAGACCTGTTAAAGCTTAAGGTTTCTAGAATACAAAAATGAATGTATCTATTCCTTTGACTTGGCTCTCCAGACCTGTTAAAGCGTAAGGTTTCTAGAATACAAAAATTAATGTATCTATTCCTTTGACTTGGCTCTTGTACTTTTGTTCCCAGCTGAATGGCCAGTTGTAGTGCCAGTGGCCAGAAATGACACAGGTGTTCTTCAAAGCAAATGTTTAGGTTAGCATGTGAACCTAATGTAACTCTGCAGAAAACTAGTTGTGGTGTGTGTGTGTGTGTGGTTGTGTTTTTTGCCAGTGTGCTCCTTTCAAAGAGTGAGAATATGAGCCAATTCTCAAACATGATGAGTGCAAACACTTGATGAAAGTGTCTATGCAGCATGAGAAATATTTATCACTTTGGTAGTGGAGAGGTAAATTCTGAGTTCTGGTTATTGGAAGGACTGTAACCTTGAACCAGTTTTCTGATGCACTATGTAAGAAGGTTTAATTACTGAACAAATTTGATGCATACTGTTAAGCCAGGTATTCTACTTAACTCTTGAATTGCTCAAAGGTGGTTCTGTGCTCTGGCATTTATAGGAAGAGGTGTAGCACTGAGATTTAAATTTTGTAATAAACGCTTTTATTTAGTGTTACTGAAAGTGCTTTTTCATAATAAACTTTATTTTAAAGGTTGTTTGATCCAGAAGGCTCCTTACCTTGCTGTATACTCCAATATATCCCTCAAATATTGTCAATAGGTGTTACAGATCTAGTGGTGCTTTCCTCCTTGGACATTTGCCAGACTGCTGTAAAGGAGTCCAAACCCTAAATTCTACTGTAAGCTTCCAGAGTCTGAACAGAACACTGTGTCTGGCTTGGTGCGTACTGTAAGGATGCAGTTCCTCTTTCTAGTATAATGAGAGCCTAAGACCAGCGCTGACCTCTCAGCTTCCCTTGTAGCTTAAGTATCCCTCTCCCAGAATTCAACCATAGTGTCCTAGTTTTGGGCTGACTCATCATGCTACACCCCATGGTCCCTAAACACAGAGACTTTGCATATGATTCTGTTGCTTTTTACTTCAGCGAAAAAGCACAGATCACTTGGAAGGTAGCACCCCAAATGTGGTAGCCTTAAGGGGGCCTTCTGTATTTCCTCTGGTTGCCTGGCTTCTGCAGCAGCTTCTTTAAGTTGAGCTGGTGAAAATGGCAGAAGACCCTGAGGATAGCAGCTTCTGCCCTCTAACTTTCTAGTCTCCCAGTTGAGCTGGTGAAAATGACAGGAGACCCTGAGGATGGCAGCTTCTGCCCTCTAACTTTCTAGTCTCCTCTGTCAAGGTACTTCTAATCAGCCTCCTCAGGTGATCACAGCAAGTGAAAAGCAAGTCCTGCAGGTGACTTCCGTAACCAGCCTTTTGTCTCAAAATGCTATTTTTTTCAATAGAGGATCATCAGGACTGTTAGTCCTGGGCCACTTCATCTTGGAATTTTAGTATAACATGCAAGTAATAAAAGAATAGCAGAGAAATGAAAGGACATCTCATTCACAACAGCTTTTATATTTGATAATCATAATCTCGCGTAGAGTTCTTAAATTGTACAAATTCCCCAAATCATCACAAGAGAATAGTCCTTGTTGCTACATTGGAGAAATATGTATTTAAAAGGTTTAATTGCTTCTGTACTAGAGAGGAAGTTGTATTTAGTGGTTAGGGCTAGGGATGCTAACAGCTAGCTGGCTAATCATTTAACCAATAGGCAACTGCTTATTGGTTAATGGTTCCAGCTAACTGCAATAGCCTTCCCCTCTCAGTCCCAGCCCGCCAATCCAAGTTTTAAATGAAGTGTGCGCAGAGAGGTGGGGGGGCTCCTTGGGAGTGGTCTTGGGAGCATATGGCTGCTGGTCCCACCCCCACTCTGGGAGGGCACCAAGTAACTGCTAAGAATTTTAGCAGTTACAGTTATTTCTAATGCGTATGTAAGGCACTAGCCTCTGATTTTTAGGAGTTCAATTCCCTGTACCATCTTAGACTTCTGTGAGATCATGGGCAATTCACTTAACCACTTAGTGACTGGAGTTATGGCAGCAGCAGCTCAGTGCCCAGTAGCCCCGTCAGTGTATGGAACGAATACTAAAACCCTCTTACCCATCCAAAAATGCACAAACATTTTAGAGGCCAGGGATGTCCTCTTGTCCATATCTGGGGAATGTGGGAGAGTGGAGGTAAGAATGGGGAGAAGCAGTCTTCTGAATTAAATATGTTCAGCTAATCATTTACTTGGGAAGCACAACAGCAAAGTGTAAGCAGAGTGCAGTTGTAAAACTCTTTCCTTGCTAGCAGCTGTGAATTGTGAGTTTGTGTGAAGCACAGTACTGACATTGACTTTTCCTTTTTTTTTTCTTTGCAGCATCGCCACATCGTGTACTGAAAAGGGGTTCATTTATTTTCAGAAAGCCGACACCATCTTTGGAATTTTTAATCCATATTCTCACTCTGGACGGTGAATGCACCAGGTTCTCTCCATTCTGACACATTGTAGTGCCTTTAAACCTCACTGTCAGCAGTGGGGATATTTAAAAGGCACTGCTTTTAAATTTTTATTCATTTGGGAGGGGTTGTCTTTTCTTTTTAAAACCACCACCAGTATTTGCTGTCTGAATCCTGTGCATTGCTTACCAGTTGGCAGTTTTGAACTATTGCCCTTAAGTGAGCATCAAAACACCTTCCAGAATCTTGCACGCTCACAATGCTTCTATTTGCTGAGGACTCTGTGTGTGTCCCAAGTGCATGGACACAGCAGGAAGAACATTTTTCATATGATGTATGTTAGTGTGCTGAAGCAGCACTACAGTGGGCTGTACCCTCCTCCATTCAGATTGTGACAGGATTCAACAGGTAGAATGTGGAAATAAAAGCAGACCTATCCTAAAAGCAGACTATCTGTGTTTATCTGTAGAAATCTTACCTTGATAAACTCAGGTCATTTATTATCTGAATATGAAACTCTTGGTTTAGAATTTGCAACTGCATTTGGATTTTTGTATCCCAGGTCCTTCATGTCTGCATTCACTTTTTTTTACTCCATGGCAGGGGTGGGCAGTAACTTTTGACCAAGAGCCACTTCAGAAATTTTTGAAGTGGTCCCCGGCTACCCCAGAAGAGGTGGGGCCAAGATACTTCCATGCTTCTCTGTCCCTATGCCCTGATTGGCCTGGGGGCAGGGGAGCAGCCGGACCTCCATGGGCCAGATCTGCCCTGCAGAGGCTCTTTTGCCCATCCCTGTTCCATGATGTAGCAGGTTTCAGACCAGCTTGCATGTTCTTGAAATCATCACATATAATTATTAAAAGCAGTGGATGAATTTGAGACCTCTTACAAGATGTAGCCATTGGCAACAGCAGGATTGTGGGAGGCTTTCTTTTATTTGCAAGCTTTGGGTGGAAATATGTTCAGAGGAACACTCTACTTGTGTGTGTTTTGGATATACAAGGAAACCTATATTCTAATATCTGGAGCCCCATGCCTTGTGAAAATAGTCCAGAATACTTAAATTCTGCATCCACCTCTTTTTGAGCAAACTTCCTTACAGCAACAAAACAAAAACACCTTAAGAATCTAGTTCTTAGCAGATAAGAACTCTTAAATGAGTGTGTTTTATGGTAAAAATGCAAAACAAATTAATCATTGTTAAATCCATAATCAATTTTACCCTTCGCCTTAAAAACATCTTGTGGAATAACTTCTGAAAGCTTGAACATGTTGAATCATTATTACTGAATACTGTAACCTTTTTAAATAAGGAAAGTAGTTTTTAATATCACCTCTGTAGTGAATGTCTAGTGGAAGTTCAAAGATCAGTTGCCAGTAGGATTTACTAATTGATGCATGTAGTGATGTCTTTTACCCACCAACAGTCCAAGAAGTTGACTTGTGAAGTGCATCAATGCCAAATGTCAAACTATCCACCATTTTTACAGCTAGATAAGTTATACTTTCTGACTATTTCTGAAGATGGAAATGTTCTCCTTTACCATGTTGTGATCTGAATTTGTTTAATTGTGGTTTGAAAAATAAGTTTAGCCTTGTCCAGTATGCCTTGTAGTTTTTCAGTGATGCATATACCTTTTTGGTACAGGACACTCTACTTTTTGGCAATAATGAAAAAGTGAAACTACGAGACTACTAGACATGTTTGGATATAGTAACTTACAGCATCATGATGCCCATCATACTTTTGTGTGTGCACTGATATTTTTGAATAATAGTACAGATGTTTCAAAGCAGGGAAAACATTACTTTTATCAAGACCTTGCAAGTACTTGTTCTGTTGGCAGCATTCTGCTTAGTTACAACCCAGTTTGGTTATCACCCATCACCCAAACAAATAGGACTAGTTTTCTTTAAAGTATGGATCACATTTATCATAGACCAAGATCCCCTTCCAAAAATATAGAAACTACTTTAAGCCCCTCACAGGTTTTCAATAAATATTGTTTGGAAATGATTCCAATCATAATTTCACTTCCGTTCCTACAGCAGTGGGTCTCAACCTATTTACCATTGTAGACCAAGTCACAGCTCTGTTACGTGGGCTGCATCCACACAATATATACATATCTATATGGCACTGAGAATGTCACGTGGGACACAACTGTAGGCCAATTGTGCTTCATTAGACTAATACAAATAATAACGGCCCATTTTCTAGCTTAAAATCAGAAGCCAAGAAATCCTGCATATTGTATTCCCTTGCCAGTTTTAAGTGGATTTACTATGCTTTACTCCTTATCTTTCTCTCAGGATAGCAATGCTACAAAACTGATGCATGAAGCAAGTCTTTTCCTTACAATTTACAAGTTGTAGTATATGAACTTGAGCTCCTTCAGGATGAAAGACTAACTTATCTCCCCAAGATAAGCAAGCAAAGAATTTTTTTTTATGACTTAGTAAAGTCTGTTATGTATGCTCATGTTGTATGAGGGCTGAAATCAGTACTGGTTCAACAAATAATTGGGTATTTTTTTACTTCAATATTGAGTACTGGCACTAGTGACTCATGCTGCTATTCTAGATGAGTTTATTTTTCTGTAGCACTTTCCCAACTGTTTTTGCAAACTGTACAGTAATAGCTCTGCCTCCTACTGAAATGCAACTGTTTAACAGTGTGGTAAAGCAACCTTATTCAACACTTGACTACAGGAAACTTTGAAGCATTTTACCTGGAATAGGGCTGCTAAAACTTATTTATGAAAAATATCCTCGAATCCAGAGAGAAATTTACTTGCCTTCCTGTAGTTCTTGTTTGTTCAAGAGCAGTGACCACCTCGTCCAGGGTGTGGTAAATCCTCCAGTATTTTCTGAGAGGCAAATCAACTACTAGAGTTGTGTAGATCTCTTGGTGTGGGTGTTTTCTCCTTACAAAAAACCCCCAAATACTCCTCTATCTGATTTTGTGTTTAAAGTGTGTTTCAGCTATGAGGTAGTGCTTCTCTCTTCTGAGTAACTGTCATCACTGTTAAAAATAAGCCTAAAACTCTGAGGTCTGTGCTCTTAATTGCTAATCTAAACTAATAACTTGACCATTTAAAAATAAATCTCTCCTGAAATGTTTTATTGGACAATTGCATCCCTTCTCCATGCCATGAATGGAAGTAGAGGGACTATGCTTAGTTTGTATGTTAATCTCAGGGGTTGGCTTAGCGCTAGGCTTGAGCCCTCTACATTCAGAATACAGCTCTAAGATTTTGTTTGTCTTGCGGAGTAGTTTTTCTACTCTACAACAGAACCCCTGTACCCTGTTCTATAGCTCATGTATTTCAGTAAAGTGCTGTACTTCAAACATCTATCACCCCTTGAGCGGTCATTGCTTAATTATGAAGGGGGAGGGAAGGTCTGTGGGAAAACAGGCCGCCTCGACCATGTTATAACAGTGACTCTGGCTCAAGTTCGCGAGTGGGTTTATTTACTCTGCGTAGAGGCACGGCCTGCAACTGGAATCATCTCCCAGGACCAGGGGTGCAGCTACTGTGCCGGGGCAGCAGCGGCGTCTGCACTACGCCCGGGCCACGGGCTCTGATGGACTGGTCGGGGCGGGGGCACCTTCCCGTGGCTTCGGTCTGAGGCTGGATTTCACTTCGCTAGGAGCAGGCAGCCGCCGTGTGGGCAAAACCCCAGTGAGGATGAGGATGCCTTCCCCCCTCAAACCCAGAGGCGCGTTAGCCCGCGGCCGCGCCCACGTGCGGAGCATCTCGGGCCGGGTTCCATGCGCGGCCGCCGCAGGGGAGGCGCTGGCGGTGCGTGCGAGAGACCGCCCGGAGCAGCCCGCCCAGCGCACCTAGGGGCCTGCGGGGCAGCCAGCGCTTCTGCCCCTTTCGTGCCGGGCTGGGTGCTGGTGCCGCGTAGCTCGGCCCTGCCCCTCCCCAGGACGTC